GACGCCTGAAGAATCCTTATCTCATGATAAAGAAATGCTTATGCAAATAGAAAGTGCTTCATCAGTTCACATACTTGAAAATCTTTGTTAACAGCTAAAAGCCTGTAAAGATGCACGTTGGCTCTTCTGCACTTCCTCCAGATGACAGCAAACAGTTGCACACAACTCGCTGGAAAGGGAAAATTGCCTTTTTTTAATTTAAATTATTTTTCTTTTTTTACTTCTCACTTCATGTAAGAAGGCATTTGCACGTGCCATCTGAATTTATTATCGGTAGGAATTCAGATACCTGAAGCATTACTTCAACCAAACTGGTGTATTCCAGCTACATGAAAAGCATGTCTTCTTTTTCGTTTAACAGAATAATTGACCTTCCTGAAAAAAGCACACTTAAACCTTTGTAATAGTCCTTACTATATTTACATTGATTTCAAAAGAGAACACTTCACTCTATAAGCTCTTGAATAAAATGAACGTAGAAATGGTTAGTACACTGCATATCAGATAAAAACCTGTAATCATTCATATTTATAATTTATTTTCTACAAAATAGTACTTGTTAGGTTAGCAAACTGATAGGAAATATTTCTTATGTGAAAAATTACAAGACCTGTAGGTGAAGTGTAAAACAGAGAACTCAGACCTCTTTCGCACCATAAAATACTGAAGTTTGTTAATACATGCATGAAATGTTTGCCCAAGTAATTTTTCACTGATTTGTATGGAAGCAGTTGTACAAGATCATACTATTTCTTCCTCAAGAAGAAAAGGAAAGACGGTGAGAACATTTTGCTTATATAGGTCTGGTGATGTTTTGATACGTCCTACAATGAATGACTGAGACACACTCACCCTGCAATATTTGTTCAGGAAAATCTTCTCAATTTTACTCTAACAATGTATATACAGTAAACGAACAAAACCCGTATGAGACACAATGCCTGCAAGCACACTTCTGCTTAACTATTTAAGCAAATGGCCCTTTTGCTACATATAAAAAGTCCAAAACCCCACAAACCAACCAATCAGAAAATGCCTTCAAGTCTTGCTTTTCAATACTCAGTTAAGCAGATACTACCACTCTATATTGCTACTATAATACGTTTTTTGACAGGACAGTAAAACCCCCAAAATGTATAACTTACATTTACTGAAGTTATAACAAACCTGGGTAGTTCCTAAGAATATTTCCAAAGTAAAATTTATCTTGCAGTGTATAATTTACACCATTTATCACTGTAAGCATAAGATTACATGAGAAACTCATTTCTCCAGATGTGTAATGCGGTTTTCCCCTCTGCTAGTTAGCCCTTATAGATATATAGCCCCAAGCCCTATAATGGTCACAAACCAAAACAAGCTCAGAGAAATAACTACCAAAACATGTATATATGTTTTATATGTGTATACATATATACACAGACATCCATATATCCTTAAGACACATAATCACATACATAAATGGAGTATCACTCATTCAAAAATAGCAGTTTCCTTGAACTTGGGAACCTCTCTACAGACTCCTGTTTCTGGCTTGTCAGAGATTTTTTAGAACATCGAACTTGGGCATTTAGGTCAACTTAGGCATCAAGTAATGATTTTTACTTTGGTTTTGTATTGTAAAGGCTGTTCCTCTGTCCTCAAGAGCTCAGACAGGAGCAACTACTAAGGCATCGAAGATCTAAATGAAACATCTTACAGCATTTAGAGTCAAGTCATGCTGTGCTCCTATACTTGACATGCACATGCTCTTATACTTGATCCTTATTACATGTTGAAAGATTTTCTATGACTTGTGATGTTTCTTTTTCACTTTTTGAAGTTATGTAATTTTCATAGAAGCTGCAGAAGCAAATTAATAGAGGCACAAGTCAAATGTCCTTAGAAAGTAAATAAAAGCACTGGCTGTGAAAATCTCTAGTAGGTGGCAATCTTAAGAATTAGATCACAGAGCACTACTCTTCTGATGCAGACTGACATTTTCATGTGCTGTGTCATCCAGCAGGAAGCCACACTGACTATAGGTCGGAGCACACATTTCCATCTTTTACCTTCTGAAGGGCTATGTTGGTTTAGAAATTGTGGAGACTTCTATAGGGAAGTTAATTATATAACTGGCGTATGCTATGTGACAAATACAGAGAGACAGACACATTTAAAGGATAGACTTTCCATCTGTGAAAAGCTAAGCGTTAGTAACTAAATCTGAAATAGAAGGAGTAGCATCACTAAAATAAGAGAATCAATTCTTGTTTTACAGATGATTAGACTTGTGTAATGCTTTTAAGCAGACCTAAAGTTAAGAACATACTCAGAATCGCATCAAGCCTCAGTATCAAAATACCAGCTCATGTAGATGATTGCTTGCATGCCTGTAAGTTTGTAACAAGAGAGGTTCGGTTCTTGCATGAGAGATGATAATGGCTACTATGGACCACTACTTTCCCTTCCTATAAAAATAATACTCTGTGCTAATAAATATTACAGTTCAGAAGAACATGTTGTAGCTTTGCTAAAAAGGGAGATGAAACAACCTGAATTCACTGGAAGCACTCAGTAATCTCAGAGGGGAAAAATACAGCCCATAGATGAAAGGAGTCCACAAATTATCTTCATCAGCTTAAAAAATCCCCAACTTTTAGAAGTAATGTTAATTTAGGTTTTACAACAGTGTGCTAAAAAAGAGCAGCACCAAAAAAATACTGTAGCAAAATGAACCAGCAGCAAAAAGCCCAGGAGAAAAAAATTGCTCAGCCTGCACTTTTCCTTTTTAACAATTTTCTGTTACAATACTGCAACTCTTTTTCATTCTAGATTCAGGACACTAAAAAGACCTTATATGTCACCTGAAAATAATGAGGGAAGCTGTGATGGGAAACATTCAAAGCTTATTTAAAAGCCAAGTTATTAAATTCTTTTTAGTTTTTAGGCTTTTTCCACAGCAACTGGAGGGGAAGGAGGCCACAGGCACCCTGTACCATTGGACAGTCTCTAACCTAGAAAAGGCACCCACGGATGCCACAGCTGGTGCTCAGCTTGGGTCCCCACACATCTAACCCACATAAATGCTGCTGGGCGGCTCCTGTGACCAGCATGGCCACAGTGCCTTTGGCAGCACAAAGACCTTGGCAGCACAAAATAAGGGCCATCAGCAATATAATCCAAACCCAAGTTTTCAAAGAAAGTATTAAATATGACCACAAGGTTTGGTTAATATTAATGTTCAAGAACATACCACGGATTAGGGAGATCTGCTAGCCATTTGCAGTGCTAGCTTTTAAAAGTAGGAAAACTAAATGCCTGGGAGCTCAAAACCAGTAAAATCATTTCATGTCATGATGTGTTCAGTTCCTCTTGTGCACAAGAATTCCTTGTTAAAAAAAGAGCACATGGAAATACATATTCTTTCCCACAGGACAGACATGCATCATCATGCACGTTCACAACACAGGAATTAGATGCCCAAATGAGAGATTTTGTTTATTTAGTTTTTTTGAACACAGAAGACATACAAGCCCTCTGCATGACACACATGCTGAGGGAAAGTCTGCAAAAGTGACCATTTTACAAGACCTTTCGTAATGCAGTGAAATGGCCAAATACTCCATCTGAAATAGTATGTCAAAATAGGCTTTGGCTTAAAAAAAAAAAAAGAAGTTACTGCGGCCGGTGCCCAGTCATGTGATTTTCATGGATTCCCTGATTATAAAGCGAGAATTGCGCTGCACAAACACTGCTAAAATGCTGGCGTAGGAGTACCATTCACACGCTTTTGTGATTAGGATTCAGCACTGCTGGATGGAAATCATTTTACTTGTCCAGAGATGCTGCCTGCCTACAGAAGCTCGTCTGCTCCTGGCTGATTGTGCTGCCGCCTCCCCCTCTCCCTCCCCGTCAGCCCAATCTCCCCTCCGTGCACATGCGCGCACAGATTGACACCCTCATGTGCTATTCCTTTTGAAATCACTATGGTAAGTACAAAGGGCTACAAGGAATTAGAAAAACAGCAGATGACCTCTTCAGCAAGGCGATAAGCAATGCAAAATACAGGAAAAACCACAAATAAATACTAATTTTTGACAAGCTTTTACAGTCATGACTAGAATATGTGTTTGCTACAGTTCATCATTTCTCTCCCCTTGAGAGATTAATACCACTTACAGAGTTGAGGAAAGCCCATAGGAGTTATTTTTCCTATACATGTGTTTCTTCTGCTAGGAAACCCAGAGCCATCAAGCCTGGTGATAGCAGTGTGTGCATGATCTCAGCTCAGCTTCCACACACAACTTCAGCAGCCACAGTATCAGCAATCACTGAAATCAGTGCTTACATTACAACAGCTCCAGCAAACAGTGGGCCAGAGGAGGACACCCCCCTGCATGCAACACATTTAAGCACTTTAACTGCATTGTGTATACAGTCATACATTTTAAAAGGTCTGAAAATATTGTATAGTTTCATTAAAACATGAATTAACAAAGGAATCAGCAGAGCTGATCAGACGGGAAAATAACTTTGGTGGCTTCTGTTCATATACTGCATTTGGTAAAGGCACGAGTAGAGAAAAGTCCAGTTTACAGCACTACTGTGTTCCAGTAGCATCCTGTCTTTGCCAAGGATAATACTGGAAAACTCTTTCGGGAAACCTCAAGCATCCCCTCAACCCTGCCTCCCCTCCCTCCACCAAAAACCTGTAACTGATAATATGAAGAATACCTGAATCATTTCACGCACACAAATAAGAATCATCTGGCTCTGAACAAACTGTAATACACTCAACACTTGAGAATTTTTTCAAGAGAGTCCCTGTGAATTTCAGTCCTAACATTAATTCTATCATGCAGGTTGAAGTATGTGGGGAGAAGGGAGTGAAACAAGGGAAAACGGCATTGCAAAACCTCTGAAATCATCACAGAAAAACTTCCAGTCTGGGTCAGGAAAAGATCAGATCAGAGCTGTCATAAGGAATTTCTTAAAGCAAGAAATTAAGAAATACCTACCTTACAGTGCAGTTCCTTTCATCCAGATTGTTAACTTTAGAGAAAACACGCTCCCCATCCTCCTTTAAATCCTCTGCTTGCCTCCTTACTTCAACTGAGACTTCCTAAAAGTGGTTTACAGCAGAAGTAAGACACCAAGTCATCATGTTTCAGGCTCCCAAAAAATCTATGATTATGGAACCTCTTATTTGTGGGTTTGCTCTGTTTGAATATACATGAAGTCAACAGCACAGCATGTCTTAAGCTTGTTTGGTTTTAAGTGGTACAGTATGCTATGTGACCTCTTGCGCAGCACTACCAACCTGGCTGTGCTCAAGTTACTGTTCTGCTTTGTTGATCTACAGAAGAGCTTAACGTTTGTATCAGTGTTTGCAACTTCCACATAGCAAAACCAAAAAAACATGCGGCAAAGAAGTTAGAGGAGAGTTGCTCCTGTTTTAGAGGATGCAAGTACGCCCCAGCTTTTGAATCCCTGAGTGCATATTTCAGTTTCTCAGCAAAACACACAACATCGCTGTTCCAGAGTTTTATTATCTCACTATCTTCAACCAACCACACCCAAAGCACAGCTTTGCATTACAAACACTGAACCTACAGGAAACTTAATTGAGCATTAGCACTGGAATAATCTGAATCACGTATGCAAAAACATCTTTACTTACTCGAGTCTGTTGTAAGCATCTTCAATGCACTTATCACCATATTTTCCAGGTGCCTAAGCAGGTGTCTGCTTTTTGCCCCAGGAGGCCTATACTGAACTTGAAGGCACTGACTAATAAACCAGAAATGCATATATGGAATAGATGATATGATGATTTTTCTGCTGGGTAGGCAATTATTAAATAATTTTGTTAATTTAATTTTCAAAATAACTTCCAGGTGAATATTTCCAGTGCTTGGAACCTCTACCCTAATATCTGCATAGTTAAGTCTGCACGTAGAGTTCAAAAATAACTTTTGCCAAACTTAAAGACACACAAAAAATTTAAGAAAAAGAATCCACAGCTTTAGAGATCAATGTATTTGTTTCTTTTCGAGTTATTCTCATTCTAATCCCTCTCTACACACACACGCAGAGGTGCTATGTGGACGCATGTGGATGTATGCATGCATGCAATGTTATTAGCAAGAGACGAAAAGTAATATACGACTGCACTGCCTCAGTTCTTTTCTTGCATAAGGTGAAGTTCAACACAGGTTGAACATACTACGACTCCTTATACAATGAGGCAATCTTGGAGCAGCTTGAACAACATCTTTTGAATAGAGAACTTAAGAGACTTGGTTTCTCTGTTTACTTCCCCTGCCACCTGCCAACCATTCCCTGGCCCTGCTCAGTTAAAAATTAACTTAGTATTTACTTGCAAGTTGAACAGACATTTGGCATCTCTCTAAGGAATAAATTTATACATCTTAAATCAAGCAAACTGACATGAAATAAAACACTAAGCAGTTTCACTTGTTGCTGAAGTGTAGCTTTAACAGGCATATTTTTAATCTCTAAATTTTATTAGGCAGAAGTTTTGTCCTGTGTAGCTTTTGCATGAAGCCAGTTTATAAGAAAAGAGGAAATCCACAGAAAATTATTAGACCATTAACAAGATTGGACAAAAATAGGCATTATTTACCCTTGGAATACTTTTATTCATAGTTTCAGAGAACAGAAATTCTTAAAATGGGGAAGGCAGCCACACCAATGAAGAAAACGATGGGTGAAGATTGCTTTGATCCTCCTATACCTCTACTGTAAAAAGAGGGTATTACCAAATCAACATTTGGCTACAGCACACAAGAGATGACTTTATCCAGTTGTTCTTTGCTACACCTAATTCCTGTGCAATGCAAACTTCGATCAGCTTACTGACAAAAGGCAAACACCATACTACAGCGTGTTCCTAAACTGGAAATCTTCATAAAAATCCCCTTCCACCACTCTCCTGTCCCCTGACCCGGACAATTGAAAGGATAAAAGCAAAAGATACTTGTACCTGTTTGTAGAAATCAGTAGAAGGGGATGATCTAGACCTCTCATGGGTGTACTGTGGTTTCTCATGTTGTTCATGGCCTGCATCAAGGATATTATCAGCTGAATGGTACCTCCCTGAGTTCCGCGGCTCTATCGGCTTCCGCTGCTCCTTCCATGACGCCTGATACTCTGCAAAGGTTCCCAGGCGCTGCGGCTGCTCAGATTTCACAATCCTATCAGCAGCCTTACTGCTGCTACGATGGTGGACGTTATCTTTTGAAGCATGTGCAGTTTCTAGTCCAAGAGAGGCTGCCCGACCTCTTCTCTCATACCATGAGTCCTCTCCCTCCTGTCCACTGTGAACTTTCCTATCTGGCCTCTCAGGCTGTCCCTCAGCTAGACTATAGGGAGCTGGTTTCTGTGGTGGTCTCCTTAGTGCAGGCTTACTTGTTTCTTCAAAAAATTTCCACCTGTCTGCAAACGAGCCTAGGGCTTCTTCAGATGGATTTGGACAGCAATGAGCCCGACACTCATCCTCTGTCATCCCCACCTCATTCATCTTCTCTGGTTCAGAGTAAGACTTCATTTTTTGCTCTGTTGTGAACCTCTTCCTGGCTCCGATGCGAGAAACGTGATGAGTGCCACTCCCCGTGGGGTTCGGTTTAGCTTGTGTAGCCTCAAGGAATCCAGGCACATCTTCAGAAACCAAAGCCAATAACGAAGAATTATAACTACCAGTTTTCCGCTCGGGTGACCTAGGGAGATATTCAGCGGGGCTGGGCTCCAAGTCCCGCCGTTTGAAGGACGTTGCCCTCAGAACCCTGGCCTGGGCCTCCTTGAGGTGATCTTTGTAGGTGGTGGTGAAGTTAGTGTCTGGGGAGGCAGTGACATTTTCTGCTGAATCTGGCTTCCAGGTCTCGTTGCACTCCTCTGTTTCAGATGACCCTACTAACGTAGCAGTGCTTCGACTTTTCTGCAGCTTTGCTCTTCTCATTTGGATCTCATTTCTCAGGGTTGTTGCAAAACGATCACTTCTTCGTGCCTGTTTAGACAAGTGAGAGTCAAATGGGGCCTGTCGCTCTATTACCACTTCTGAGCTGTTGTTAGACTGCTTTTTCCCTTCCTGAGCTAAAGAGTGCAACATCGGGGTCTTCTGAGGAGAAATCTTGCTACTCTCATCTTTCCCCCACCTAAAATCTTTCTGAGCAGATCTGTTTTCAGTGGTAAGGATACAGCCCTTTACACATTCCTGTTGACCATACCTGGTTTCACTTTCCTCAGAGCTGCTCTCAAAGTTCTTCTTTTGTCCAGACTTTTCAGTGTGATTGGGTTTTCTAGCTTCTTCTGCTACAGCACACCTAGCATCCCCCTCTCTGTCCAATGGATGATGACTGCTGTTCTCACACCCTTTCAGTGAAGATACAACAGATTGTTGAGGTAGATAGTATTTTGGTTTTTGGACCATTGTGACAACTGTAAGATTTTCTTGAGATCCGAGAGATGGATCAGTCCCCACTCCAGGTTTCCAGCTGTCATCCTTGAGTTGTTGTTGCTTTGAGCTTCCCTGAGCAGGCTGTTTTACTGTTACACAGTAATAGCGACTCTGTCCAGTGTTGTCCATCTTCTGTTCAGCAGCACTGTTCAAAGAAGAGGAAGTGTTGAGGAGACTGGCTTGGCTTGGACTGTAGCCATGAAAATGATCTGTAGGTAACTCCTGAATGCTGCTATAGGACAGATAATGTTGCTGATCTTTAGGCGCAGATAAGACTCTTGCATTGTGAAAAAAAGTGCTTTCATCACTGTACTGGTGCTGGTGGTGGTAACTGTAAGAAGGCTGCGCAAACCGAACATCAGTGCTGGACAGGGACGACTGCAGTTTGTTCACAGTTCCTGCATTACTGTTGTACCTTTCACCAGTTGAAGAAAAAGCGTGTTCTGAACTGGGATCAGATTTATAATTTGAGCTGCTAACCCTCCTGTCACATGCCCTGGAGGGCCGCCGCTGCTGCTCCACAGTTTCCAAGTTCCAGTCACTCCTGGGCTGAGACCGATTCAGGGCTGTAAAGTGCTGCGTGCTGGCACCCTCTGAGTACACAGGGCCATGGGCTTTCTCATGGCCTTTTGTAGCAGCAAAGCTGTCGCTACGAAGTGGTGGAGGCGGGGGGGGAGGAGATGAAGACTTCTTCTTATCAGGAACATACCACACGGGTCCAAAACTGGATCTTCCAGAGCTGGTGAGCTTGGCATCGGAGTGTTCCTCTATTCTAGGACTTCTACTGTTTTCGTATTGGATGGGAGCTGGCAAATACCCAGGTTTGTCCTCTATTCCACTGCTGTCATTCAAGAACTGGCCTGACTTGTTTCCATGCTTAGAAGTCTCCCAGTGGCCTACTTTGTACAGCATGTTCTCTGTCGAAGAAGTGTCTGCATTGGATAGAGTGTGGTCAGGGGTGCTAGAACTTGTGGAGAAAGACCCGTAGGCTGAATCCCGCTTACTTTGGCTCCCTAGATGATCAATGCTACTATTAGACCTTGCGGATGAAAGTCTTCCATACTGGGCTACTTGTGGAGTGTGGTCCCAGCTGTCCATACTTCCCAAACTGCTGAACTGGTCAGAAGTGCGATGTAGACTTGACTGATCCCATGAGTTTGACAGGTCATGAGAAGAACAACTATGGTAGGAAACAAACAACAAGCCTCAGCGTAAATATGCCAGTCAAAGAATGCCACAATATTATTATAAATATACAGCCACCAGTTTTCCTAACATTGATTAAGATCTACCTGCGTAGCGGTTACTCAAGACAATCTATCAAAATTGGAAGTTTGAACACAAAGTCAGGGCTTTATACTCTGCCACTGATTCAGAGCTTGAAATTTTACTAACTTCCCTTTCTAAGTTTACGAGTAATACCCCTTTATCTCCTTGAAGGATCCCCTTTCCCTCTGCAAGTTGTTGATTTTTCTGATTTTGCTTTTAGGCAAACTTAGTTTGGGGTCATTAGCTCCCTCTTCCCCAGGACAAACACCAGCTTATTTTTCAGCTTATTTTCCAGGCACCCTGATTCTTCCAGTGATTAAAACTCACGTACCTCCCTTTTCACCTTTTGTAGTCTTACTATAAACCTATGCAGCCCATAAAGTTATTCCCTTGTCCTGCTTATCCAAATCTGCTCATTCATTTAATATTTTAATTTCTAGACAGTTTCTAAATGGAGGTTCACTAAAAACATTTGCCTCAAATACCGCCACTTACAGTTCTGAGCCTCTGCATACACCTTACCCATGTGGTTTCAAACCATTCTCAGGTTGACACCTTTACAACATCATCATTCAGTTCCACAACACTGTCAGGAAGATGATAGGAGGAGATGCCAGAGCAATGTAAGCTTTGCCTGGCCAAAACTAAATTTCTGACGTTCCTCCAAGAATCCTTCCTGCCAAAGTTCCAACCATTTCCCCTCGCTACCCTTTCTTCTACAGAAACATCATCCTTGATACTGTACTTTCTCTGGACTATTTGTCTAGGACTCTCTTTCAAAATCTTGCTGCTTCTGTTGTTTTCCTACCTAATCAGTTTTGTTCTGTTTTCTTTCTTTTCCATCTTTCACAGCACCCACCTCCTGTCAATCCAACACACTGATACTGGGACGACAGTCTTTCCAATTATTCTCATCACATCTCCCTGTTTGAACTTCACTGGCAGCTCCTCCTGTTTTTATATACCAGATTCAAATTCTTGCCCTTGCATGCAAAGCCCCTTGGTAGAAATCCCAGAATTATTCCACTTCCCTGTAGCTATAATTAAATGAAACATCTATCAAATCTTGTGCAATGAAGAAACCTGTGAAAGCTAGCAATGAAATTAGATTAGTCCACATAAAAAAACCGAGTGATATAGATCTTTTTTTCTGGCAAAAATATTGCAAAGGTCAACTCAACAGTTCTTTGGAATGCAGCATTAACATGAGAATTGCTTTTCTCCCCCCATCTATTACTGTAGCCTTTGTAACTTGTTTACAGAACATGGTCAGAAGCAATTTATGTGAAATAAGAGAAGGTATACTTGTGCTTATTATCTAAAAGCATTTTATTAGCAATATGCACTAGCACTGGCCTCCTCTTGTGGGTTTTTTGTTCTTTCATTCTTCTATTTTCAGTAATCTACAACATCTTGCTGAATACTTAAAAAGATCTTAATTGTCATCTTGGGCAGATACTGTGGTTCATGTAAACAGTGTCTTGGGTCATTAATAGGATCTCCTTTGTTAATGAAGAATGTAAGCCAGATATTGCTACGAATTTCTGTTATTTCTCCCCTTCCTCAGCACCAAGATATTTTGGCACTGATTAAAATAAAGATGATACTTGTGCAGGAAGTCTCATGTAGATATGCTGGTATCAAATGTGAAGCAGATATCATCAGCATAACAGGTCAAAGCTCTGTTAGAAAATGCCTAATGGAAACCCAGCAGATGCAGAAAAAGTTTTGAAGAGAGGATAATAAAGTTTCTCGTGGTGAGTGACTCCAAAGCCCTTAACTGCGGGGCAATTGTCCCATGAACCCTGACATGGAAAAGCGCACAAAAGCCATTTCTCTGGCAGAGCCTGGCATCCCTTGATAGCCTTTTCTCAGTGTTTTTTTTAGAGTGGATTCACAAAAGCACCTACACTGCTGGTCAATGTCTAGTAAGTAAAGTCCAGGGATAATCTACAAACACCACCCATGACTATTTCTGGCCAATAAGCAAACTTCCTCCGCCAAATCCTGGGGCATGAGCTGCTGCTACTGGGCCCTCGCAGAAATTACATCATGTCAGCAAATCAGACCACATGGGATTACAGACCAGATGTACCTGACCCTAACTGCCCCAAAACCTCAGTTTAAGCAGCTTCTCAAAGCACACCCACACCTATGAGGCCAGAATGAAGCTGAAGAGGTTGTTGGTTTCAACTGCACACCCAGGGACATGAAAAAATATCATAAGGTCCTCTATTATAGTATATCCTACTGGAAGAAAATGCAGGGTCGGAACTTTCAGGGACTTTGATTCTATGACTTAACACAGCTCACATCCACAACTCCCAGAAAAGTGCACTTAGCCTTAGTCTAGGGTGGGCTAGAAAAGTCTGCATCGATGTTGTTAAGGTACGACTTCTGTAAAAAAGACAGCACAAGACTCATAGAGGGAAATAAAAGCACCAAAAGCTTATGAGGTCTAATGCTCTAGCCTTGCGTGAGAGGCACTTATACCTGCCAGAACTATTCTCTCTCCTACCTACACTGATAGAGTCTCTTATGGTCTGTTTTCCTCTGGTTTCATGCACCTCCTCAAAGGCCCAAATTCAGCAGTTTGGCAAAAAACCCCAAAACATCCCTCCTACCCCCCCAACCCAATTTGTCCATAGCTTAATCTAGTATCAACCTAGGTAGCAAGGACAATTTTCAGAGGGTTGTTTTGTCCAGCCATGCCTGACCTCACAACACTCAAAATCCAGATAAATCCTTCCTTGGAAGAGCGCAAAACCATCTCTTCCCCCCCTCTGAACTCCTGTTTTACAAGTGATTTAGTTTTCACATTCACAGAGAGAATGCAGGCAGGCACATTCAGGGGATTTTAGGCTGTGAATACCAGTCTCAGATGCTTAGGTCAAGGAAGGACAAGAAATTCCAGAAATAGCTGGAGGATGGGATCCTTGGGCTAGAAATATTCCCTCCTCAGGCTATTTCTATTATCTTTTTGGATACTGCTGCTTTCAGCTACTGACTGCTGTGTCTCTAGTTCAGCTTAGTGCTTCACTTAAGAGTGCACTGTGCTTCCTGGTTTTGTGAGCTCTACTTTGAAAGCGGGGAATCTCTGAAGCTGCTCACATTTTCTTTTTGCAGCATCCCTCTCTGCAACTGGGATACCCAAATAGCTCAAATACCCAAGTCCTTGGCCTGGCACTCTGGGAATGCTGGGCCTCCAGCAGCCCCAGTATGAAGTCAGCTCTGCCACTGAAATTGCCTTGGGTAACAAACACCAGGACTGACAAATCTCCCAAATACATCACCATTCAAGTAGGCAGCACAGGTAGGCAAGGGGCTTAGCATGGCAGTGCCCCGGCAACCCCGATACTAGACTGTGCTAAAGCCACTAAAACTTTCAGCAGCATCTGAGAAAGAATTTGCCCTATTTATTAATACTGATGTCTACCAGCAGTTGCTGCTATTTCTCATATGTGAGGGAAGAGGATTGCTCTATTCCCCTTCCCATTTTCTTTTACTCCCACAATTTCCTGACCAAAGTTCATTTTCAAACTGGCCTTGAGCCAAATTAATTCTTTTTTAAATATCGTGATTAGCCCAGCTCCTATAAAATCACACTTTGAGATGTGTCTTGTAGTGTTTTACTTTCACCAGATACAAGGACAACTATCAGGAAGAGCAGGAAGCATATACTGATTCACAATTCAGTTAGAAGACTCAGTGGTCTGAAAGCAGAAATATCTGAGAGTTCCTCATAGCAATGCTACAAAGTTCTTATGAATTTCAGAATTTTGTTTCTAGGTACAAGGACTTTTACTGTCTTCAGTAAAATAACCTTCAAACCCTTTCTGTCTAAATGTTAATGCATTCATACTTTACTCAAGAGCAGATAGCAAGTTATTTTAAAAACAGTAGAGAGATTCCAAATGTAAAAAATATTGTAAAAATGAAAGTAAAATAAAATCTTAAAGTACTAATGTTCTTGTAACTATCATGATAAATTAACACCAAGAAGTAATGATGGAGAACATAAAGCAGTCAGTACAGGAAATGCAAGCCTGCTTTCCAAACTGGGACTGTGTACCAGACTTTCTTTAAGGTCAGCATAACTATGGGCCAAAGGGAGCCGAGAAGAAAAAAAAGCAACAAAAGAAAAAAAAAAACAAACTACAGAAAACCCTCATGAAAATGCTGAAGAATGTCACCTATGAGCAGGAAACAAACAAGAACCTGTCACCAGACACAAACAGGCATTACCTGAAAGTTTAACATTTCACAACTAAAACTGCATGGGTGCCAGCCCTTCTCCCCTAGTGTTGAATGAGACTTAACAAATACCAAGGTGCTTTAAACAGGGACTGAAAATCGTTGGTCGTATCACCTCTCTACCTGAGCAAGAGCACAGCTGTAGGGCAGATCAGATTACAGAAAGACAGTTCAGCTAATAAAACCAGTAACACCTTCAAGTCCAACAGTAAAACATTCTGCACCCTCCCTTTAGCAAAAGGCTTTTTAATAGTCTGCAGCACTTTTTCAGTTTCTTCTCCCCTTACTATCTCGCTTTCAGAATGTTAATTTTGATGGTTTCTTTTTGCTCACAAAGGCTTAAGATTTTACCAGTGGCCACTGAAAAGAAATGCAGAGCAAGAAACACAACCTTCTGACTGCCTTTGAAGCTAGAGTCTTACCTTTCAGTAACATGCACATATCACATACTGTTCTGAAATCCACTCATCCATATGTCAAACTTCCCATGGTCCCCCTTCAAGCATTGAAAGGACAGGCAACACTAAAGATGTACAATAGGACGACTCTGCATTTGTTGTTCTAAGAAAACCCTCAACGACATGATCTACATTCCTACTGTCTCGCCGTGGGAGCTTACTGCGCGTACCTTCAGCAGAGACTCACCTTGCATGGTAGCGCGAGTGCCAGGAAGCGCAGGCATTGGAGGAGGAAAGGTGTGACGTGGCTGTCTCGGGTTGACTTTCTGTAAATTTGGTTGCGTGCCAGGAGTGAGGCCTGCAGGCTAGGTCATTTCTCCTGCAAACAAGAGAGGTACAGGGTACTGGTTTAGTGCAAGCAGCTGGGTAAGGTGATACACAGCAAAAAATCTACCAGGGCAGTAGTCAAACGTTATACGGGTAGGACAGAGGAATAATGACTTTAAAAGACAGCAAATGAGGCGAATTTCTACATGCATGCCAGTTTTGAAAAGACACAAGAATTCCTACAAAATGCTCCAGATGCAGTGAAATAAATGCCAAATGGCAATACTCCCCAAGAGCTCTGCTTGGGAGTGGTGCGTTTTTTGTTTGTGTTTGGTTTTTTGTGGCTTTTTTTTTTTGTTTGGTTTGTTTTTTTTTTGTTTTGGTTTGTTTGTTTGTTTTTCTTTGGGTTTAATTTTACTTATTTTGGGGGTGAGGTGGTTTTTATGAGGGGCAGAGACAGGCAAACAAGTTTTGATGTAGCTGACATGTATCCAGAGCTTTAATAGTTAAAGCTAATACTGAAGACTTATGACTCTCTTGCAACATGACAACAGTACAGTAGCACCTTGGCAAGGTTTTACTGTAGAAGGTAGGTGATTATGGGAGGAGGGAGAAGAGTTAATGACAGGAAGGAATAAAGCCATGTACATTGTTTCAAACAAGTTAGCAAGAATGACATAACTAATAATTTTAACTCCAGCCAAGTTTTGCTTCAGCTCTTAAACTGTTTGGCACCACAGGTATGCAGGATTTGTATTTTTTTAAGAATACATCTCGAAGACAGTTCAGCAATTCATCTGCGTCCCCAAATATCTACTTGGATATCACCTCCAAATGTACATGCTCGTGTAACTGAAGAGATCCCTTTTAAGAAGTACAGTAAGTTGTTAGAGCTTTGGACCTTGCAAACCTTTCTGCAAAACTGCTCTACACTCCTCTGCCCCTTCCGTTTGTTCAGGAGTTAGTAACAACGGCCTGCACTTCCTTCCAAGGACTTCCTGTTTGTAATACCTCTCAGCACTCATGAAATAAGTGCATTGCCCCCACCTCCTTGTTACATAATCCTTCTACGTGGAATTATCAACTTCTGTTTCCATGAGCAGATGCTGAGCACAGGCCATATGTCTAGACCCTCTCAGTCACTAAGGAATGAGGCAGAAACTTCTACAAGGTAATCCATCCCTCCCTTCCCTTTGATTCATCCTGGAGAAAGGGTAATTTAAAATTTAGACAAGGTATGAAGCGAGACAAATCCCAGCCTTCCAAGTCAGTCTGAAACAAACACTTATAGGACCTTAGCTCTTGAGGCTTTTATTATGCACTTAGCTATGGCACTTATGTATTTATGAAGTTTATTACTGCAAGGTTACATAATTTAAGTTACAAAAGTAATCTGCTAAGATGAGAAAGTGTTCCCTACCTTCACCTGAACTCTAAAGGCAGTTCTACATTGTTTTACTGATTCCCCCATTTTATAAACTTAGGCTATCAGACAGCCACTGGATTTAGAAAACAAAGCTAAAGCTCATTATAAACCCAGTATGTTCAAAACAGGTCAAATTTGAGTACATGGCTTTTTGCAGTACATTCAGGAAGATCTGATGAATTCAATGATGAATTGCCTTTCCAAACTCTGCATGCAGGACTAAAAAAGGAGAGTAATAATTCTACAGGGAAACTGTAATTTCACTAAGAACTGTAGCATCATTACTGTCACTAAAAAAAGAAGTAATTGTTTCCATAAACAAAAGTCTCCTCTTCTCAGCATGACAAAAGAGGAAACAGTTAAGCAGAGCATCACTATTGTTCTTTCTTGGTAGGAATTGAAATTCAGAGTGAGTGGAGAACCCCAAATACCCTCAGTGAACAAGTGCAAAAGATTCTGCTCAGCCATGCGATGCTGGGCTCCAGACGGTCCTTACATACTCCAAGGGCTCTAAGCCTGTGTTCAGATATGGGAAAAAACCCCACTCCACTGTTCAGCTATGCAGAACATGGAAGGGTTTGTTCCCCTCACAGCTCACCTCTGAAGGTACTGATACCAGCTTGGCAAACCACAAATACAATAGACCTCCTAGCCATCAATTCAGCAAAAAGGTTTATCTACTATGAGACAATTACTTTTCTATGATGCACTACTAAGGAAGCACAAGACTAGAAACTAGCACGACACAAACAGTGTTTGGAGAACAAGGAAAGGTTGGGAAGAGGGCTTCTGTGACGGTTTGCTATGGGCTTGGCAAATGGCAGGAGGAATCCCATCAGCGGGAAGGAACAGAAGGGATGCATTTAGTAAATCAGTACTGTACCTCATGGAACTTCTCAAGATCTTCATAAGATAGTTCCTCGCTATGTGAACATCGTTTTCAGATGGCATTTTCTGTGCTACAATATCCACCACCACCTTCATCTTCCTGAACAGCCAAGCAAGGGGAGGAACAGACTGGACTGAGCTGCGACATGAGGCAAGTCAAGCGGACTGTTTCCTTTTTTTTTTTTTTTTGTATTCATGAACACAAATATATTTTGAGACTTTTTTGGGTTTGATTTATTTTTTTAGAGGTAATAGTCTGAACAGCCTAAACACACTGGTGGGATACTTAGAAGGTAGAATCATGTAGATACCTGCTTTTGCTGAAGTAGACAAAATGACTAAAAATTAATTTACTGTGCATAGTCAACAATGCTTTCTGCTGGATTCTCACCAGCAGAATTTAAACTACGAAATTTAATTACACTTACTATGTCCTGCACTTCAGGAAACATTTTTTTTCTAATAAGTGGAGTACAGCATGAATATTGATTCCAAACCTCCGCACAAATGCATAGAAGGACTGGAGAGAAAAGATTGAAATACTCAAAACAGGAATATTCTGAAGGCAACTAAAGATGCTGGAAGCTGAGCATTTATATTCTAATGTAATAGCCCTGTGTTAATTCTGAGTGACAGAATGAGATCATCTGAACCTACAACCCAGAAAACCTCTCACATTAATAAAAGCATTTCCCTGAGAGTGTCTTTCTACCAGTGCTTTTACAAAAGCTGCTGGGAGGAAAATGCTGGCAAGCTTTGAAAATATGATACAAAGGGAAAAAAAACCCCTATTTCTATTGACTATAAGCAATCTGTTAGATAGTGGTCCCAATGACACGTGTGTGCAAATTCTTCAGCTACAAAGCAACCTTTCCAATACAGTTTTTCAGAATAAACCTGTCCTTTTCTATTTACTGCTTGGAAGTCATTAAGAACACTATGAATTTCACAGGCTAGGGGGTTTAGACATACTCGTTTAGATTGCTGCAGCAATACTGAGGAGGTTGACTGGATGGCGGGGCGGGGGGAAGGGAGTAGAGAAAAAATGTACTTCCTTAACCAAGAGAGAAAAACAATTAAACTGGACAAGCAGGTTTATCTGTAAACAACTAAAGTCAGAAAAGTATCTTAAAAATGAAAAGCAGACAGGAAACTGGATAGTTTCAAGCTACCGAATCTTTATTTTCATTTTGCTGAACCAAATGAACTATCTCAGCATACAATAATAGCAATGAATACGGGCCATTTCCTCTGTTTTCAGACACATTCTGAATTCCTTTGGTAAAGGTTCAGGTAAAAGGCCAGCAGACACAGCAGAAGCATGTATTCCCCCTCCCCAACAGAATTTGCTTTATTCTTATCTACCAAAGAGCTCCCTTGTGGTAACCCTCTTGCAGCTGGAGCCTCCCTCACAGCAAAAGGACAGGCAGTTCCAGGGACCTGTGTCCATGTGGGAAGCCATTTCTAGGGTTTACTTGTCTGCTGAGGTTTGGCTGCAGCACTCAGCTGACTGCTGGCTCCCATAGACGTGTAAGGCCGCACATCTTCCTTCACTGCGAGTAGCAGCAGCTACACACGGCACAGGTTTGTGCGGTATTTCTGAAGCGGAAACCTCGCTTTTCATACCTCTTGCTCGTCTTGTTGCTGGCCCCTTCTCTTTAGCCCGGAGGAGTGGTTTTAACATACCTACATCTCAAGAACAAGGTACTGAACAGTTCCTGTGGGGATTTTCCAGGTAGAACTCTGGAAATGTGCAAATGAACAAGA